AAACCTCTAGACCTGGTCTCCTCAGTCCCTCTAAAACCTCCAAACCTGGTCTCCTCAGTCCCTCTAAACCCTGCAGACCTGGTCTCCTCAGGTCCTGCAGTTTACAGACTGATGTTAGCAGATGAGGCGATGATTCACAGAGGGAACCAGAAACCTGGAATCACTTCTTTAAACATGTTTTTGTTGCTATAAATTTCAAAATGACCTCATCTGTCAGTAAAACCTTTTGTAGTTTTATTATTATAATATATTTGGTTTGTGTACTTCGTTCTGTTGTAAATAAAATACGGATTCATGAGATTTGCAAATGATTACATTTAGTTTTCTTTACATTTCTCCAAACGTTTAACTTTTTTGAACTGATTGTAAAACAGATCAAACCTGACCCGGCAATCCTTCCACATTTGTTTGGTTGATAAGTCAGCTTGTGAAGRTTCTATAACGTCTAAAACAATTCTAAGAGTCTGACAAGAAGCAGTGAACAGAGAGCCAACACAAACGTCATCGATCACCAGACCTCCAACACTAGTGTGCTTTAACATCTGTGTTTAAATCCAAGCCATTAGTAAAGACATGTCTTACTTTCAGCATTGATTGACATTGTGTCTTTCTCCCAGGACACAACAGTGATGTAGGCCTCCACTGAGGCAGGGATAATGCACTTGAAGACCGCCACATTGCCTCTCATGGCTTTTTGGTCCTCCACCCGGACAGTGTACGGCTCTCGTAAGACTAAGAGAGGAAGACAGAAAGGTGTGCAGAGTTCAGGCTGGAAACGTATAAAATGGAGCATTTTGAAGACAGTCAAGAGACAAAAACAGAAGAAACTGACCAGCCTTGATGTGGACATCTTGGCTCCTGATTCTCCCTGAGGGGTTCTCCGCTGTGCAATAGTAAGTGCTGTCATGGATGAGTTTGCTGAAGCTGGAAGGGGGGATGTGGAAGATCTGAAGGGTGCCATTGGGGTGCACATGGCGGATCCCTGGCACATCGTAGATCTCCTCGCCGGTGGCCAGGTACCAGCGCAGTGAGACAGGGGGCACGCCTGCAGCGGGACAGGGCACGGATGTCCCTGTGGTGCTGGCAAACACTACCTCTTGCACAGATGCATTGACAAAATATAAGCTGGAACGTAGATCTTCACAGAAAACTGCAGAGACACAAAGAAAACCACAATGTTAAACAGGTTTCTGCCTTTAACTCTAAACTAAATGTTCAATGTTAGGATTAAAAAACAAAGCATGTAGAAGATGTGTATTCTGGTAGTAATACACAGTGCAGCCCAATACTCTCATTGTACATATCCAACCCATTCTCACTCCGAAGTTGTCACATATTGACGCTTGTCCAAAGTTCCCTCTGCATCCAATTTTGACGCGTCGGGTACTCCCCTTGCGCCATTTTTTAACGAGATGGGGCGGAATCTGTTGACATAATTTCAGAAAGTGTAGAAAATGCACAAAAACTACCGTTCCAAAACATAAAATTACCTTTATTCACTTTAGACATCCTGTCCCTGACCCTGGTACCTAAAATTAACCATTTTTAGAAAATGTAGGAAATTCACATCAACTACGTGTTCCAAAACCTAAAATTAACATTCGCCGTAGACATCCTATCCCTAACCCCAGTACCTAAAATTAACCATTAATCCTGATCCCTCATGTTAACCTCAGACCCCCGACCCAAAGACCCCTGTTGGCGCAACCCGGAAAAGCCGTGGGCGGCAAAGACTGAAGCGAGGSGGTCACCCGTCGCATCAAGATAAGACGCAGAGGGAACTTTGGAAAAGCATCAATATGTTGACGAGTCGGGAGTGAGAATGTGTTGACATATCTAGTATTTACAGGGTATGTGGTACCTGGTACTATGTGCTTTGTATATCTGATTTGTACCTGGTACAAACCTTGTAAGTACCTGGTAGTTTGAGTTACATACTTACCTGATAGGTACCAGGTATGTACCTTGTTTGTAGTGAATACATAGCCTGTTAATTCATGGAGCTTTAAAGAATTTGTTTAAATTGATCATTTAAATTTATTTCTTTCATTTAATTTAAATATTTGTCCTGCTGCTCTGTGCTTTTTCAACTAAAGATTAATAAAATTTTCTGAATCTGGGTGTACCTTCAATTACTGGGTTGGATTATGAGGTAACTTGTTGCTCTGTACAGGAAAAGTACTGMCTACATACTACATGTGTGCTTGTAAGCTAACGTTTGACACATCTTTTCATAAAACTGCCTGATCTCCATAGGTGTCCTGTAAATACCATGTATGTGTCTGGTAAGTACTAAATAAATATGTATTCTAAAAGTATTACATTTTTAAAAGGTATGTAACAGCTATATAGCAGGAAAATACAAGATACTACACTGTAAATACAGGGTAACAAGTCACTTTATAACACAGCCTAATAGATGTCCTGTAAGAACTGGTTACATAACCAGGAAGTATTGGGTTTGTACTGTGTAAGAATCAGTTATTTACACAGTAAGTACTTTCCTTATTAATATCAAGTACATATTCCGCTGTAATACATATGTACTAGTTTTAAATCCTAACACAACATAACAACTCATGATTTTATACTCATTCGTCTTATTATTTTTGTTTGTTTGAAGTATTTTCATGTTCTCTGTTTTGTGTACTTGTACTGAAAAAACCAGGCAGAAGTGGTTTTTGTACATCATGTTAAAATGGAAGAACTTCAGAGTTAAAATAATACTCAGGCCTCATTTTCAACTGTTCCTCTGAAACATTCATTTTTCTTTAGTGAAACATTAAAAAAACAATTGGTAAAAATCCCTCTGGGACCTTTAATAAACAGGATTTGACCCTTTTTTCACACCTTAATGTTTTTATGAGCAGAACTTGTTTTTACTGTGGTTGACTGAACAAACAGAACAAATGAACCTCAGACGTTTGTGTCCTGCAGCAGGGTCATCTCACCACTCAGGTTATAACACAGAAGCAGGTCTTGAAACAGAGTAAGGGTCGTCATTGTTCATCCTTGTGAATATAGCATGTGTTCAAGTTCTTTGAATTACTGACTCATTTTTCAGTGTTTGTTTACACTGAGTGTAAAAGTGTCTGAAGTGATGAAATAAATCAATGTAACATGATGCACACCATAATACAAACATCCTATTCCCCACTGTAACAACCCCCCGTCAGCACACAGTACAAACGTGTAGTTTATACTACTCACTAGATATTACTTAAAAAAGAGTTTTAACACTGCAGGGGTTAATAAAYCTCTAACTGTTAGCCAAAGTTATCACTCATTATACAATGACTGGSGTCTGTACTGGTTAGAGTTATCAGTGAGTTATACCTACAGCTGATTAAATGATCAAATCTACAGCAAAGCAGTCCTAAAAACACAAATATGATTATAACTCAGTCACTTTTATAAATGCTGACTTGAACAAATGAGGAAAAAAAAGAACTTTAAACGGAGGACATCTTACACTGCAAAAACTGTCCATCTAACCAAGTTTTAAAATCTTATATCCAGCCAATATATATATATAAATCTTTTTGAGCTTATTTTGAGATTTCTTTTACTAATCAAGAACAGAATGCGTACGATTATTTATCTTTTTAGTCTAAACATTTGACTCAAATTAAGAGGAAAATCTGCCAATGGAGAAGACACTTGGTAAGCTTCTTGAAATCACGTTTTGACTCTTTTTTCTTATATCAAGAATCTTTTAAAACTGTTTAAAAAGGCCAAAGTAGGCCTTAAAACAGATCCTGTGTGATCCGTTCCAGTTTAGAAGATAAGTTAAGGATGAGTTTAAAGTTGTAATTCTGACTGAGTTACATTTGTTTTTCTGGTTTTTGAGCCCACAGCAGAACTTATTTAACTGTAGATGTCAACAGTGTTTGTTTTCTGCTTTTTTATTGAAATTTGTGTGAGATAACGGTGCAGACAAATGACCACAGATGCACAGCAGCTGGTGATTGTAACCATTTCAGCCATATTTACTGTATACTTGTGTTAATTTGGGATCCCGCCTCCTGTCACCAGTCTGCCAGCCCGCCTGCTTGTGCGACAGCTGCCAATCCCCCCTCCCTGGAGACCAAACATTTTAGCGCTTCATAAATTCCTAATGAGCGTTCTGGAGTCAGCAGCCACTTCCACCCACTGGTCTTTAAAGCTGTTACAACAAACAAACACGTGTTTCTGCACATTTAGAGTGGGACTCACTTCACACYTGCTGTACTTTGAGACCTGGAGGTGTTGAAAGGAGAACGGCTGTGGTTGTCGACAGCTACAGGAACTGCAGGCAGAGGAGCTGTGGCTCAGGAGGGACACCCCAACATTTCTTCATTATTACACTCAGATTCTTGCCCAATCTGGGAGAAGTATGCGTTGGTGATTACTCTCAACTACTACCACCTTAAATTTTACCTCAGGATCTGTGTTACAGATAGCTTCTTAAATTCTATTGGCTCTAGCAGCCTTGAGATGAGTTGACTCTWAAAGGTGATGAGAGTTTACTAAAACCTGTCCACAGATATTTTGCTAACAGACAAATTTAAGCCAAAGTTGAAAAAAATCCCAATGTGTAGCTCACATAATGTGTTGATTGCTTTGGCGGACACGACTCAGCAACATCATGTGGACAACTGGGGCAGTGCCACTGGATTGGCAGAGCAGGGTGGTGGTTTCTCTCTTCAAAAAGGGGYGCCYGTAGCCTGGTAAAAACCAGACGCTTGTCCTTCACGTTGCTTCGGACGAGGGTCTGGAACCTCAGCTATAGAAAGCAATTCTTGCTGGAGGCGTGGCCTCTGCTGAAGTTTAAAATGATTGGATCAGTTGGCCACAAGTGCCAGCTCCACTGTGGCGGAGGCTAAGCTAAGAAGCTAACCGGAAATCGCGTGTGCTGTAAACAACCCTACTGAGAGGAGAGAAGTACGGAGCTGAAAAAGATGACTGTAAATAAGAGCTGCTGCTTTGTCAGACAAATTTAATTTAATTTGGAAGCTTTATCAACACAGACTGGCTTCATTCACTTCCTCCACTGCCGTATGCTAAACTAACTAGCAGACACTGTGCAGAACATCAATGTCATTCAAAACTCCGCCTTCTGTTTGCTGATTGGTCCAAGTAAAATAAACTACAAGCAGACACTATGCTGAAAATCGACATCGTGTTCTCTGATTGGCCCGTATTAAATGCTCCCGAAAAACTCCTTGTCTATGAGAGAAGTCCCAGACGGAGCAGTGAAGGGAAACTAGAATTGAGCGGAACTGTGTAGGAAGGCAAGGGCCAGGCTAGGGGATCCTTGCCCCCTTAAGGCTCCAGCATGCCGCTGCCGAACTTCCGAAATCGTGCCGAACTGTCACAGTTTTATGACGATAATTGCGTCACTTCTGTTCACATTGCCGACATTTCGGCACGTCTTGTCGCAACCCCCGGGTCYAACTTTTCACCCCCCTCCACATAAGAACACATACAAACTGTACGGTGTGATTGGTCAGAAGTTGGTGGGAGTGTTTTTTTGTACAGAAAGCGCAGACGCTGCATTTGCTTCAACCACTCGCTTCAAAAAAAGAAAGAAAAAAAGAAGAAAAAGCAATCGCTTCCAGAGCCGATCTTGTACCAGGAAGCAGTGATTTATAAAGATAGTCAAACGGCCAAAAACTCATAAAAGGGGATAAAACAGACATCGTTCACAGTGGAATCTGACTGATAAAAACTTTGGAGCTTAATCCTGGACCAGTTTGTGGATAAACAACGTTGAGTGACGAGCCGCGGACTTTTTCTTTTCCGCATTGGACTCCCCCGGGAAGGAATCCCACGCAGTGCCGTATGCTGCAGCGGGAGGGGTTTTCCCAGGAGCTTGGGGCAGGGTGTCTCAGGAACTATGAAAGGTATGTGTGAAAACGAACGCCGAACAACCACGTGACGGCATGTCGACCGGTCGGCCCCCGAGCGACCATACTGCCTGCTTTACAATTGGGACACACCCTCGGAGGGTGTGTCCCAATTTTACCTCACCTGGACTGAGAATAACACAGCGGTCATCAAGAAGACTCAGCAGAGGCTACCCTTCCTGAGAGTCCTTAGGAAGCACAACCTGAACCCCGACTTGCTGCTGACCTTCTACAGATCATCAATAGAGAGCCTGCTAACATC